AATATTTCATATAATACATATTTTTATAGGCTGCCTGCATACCTGTATTATTAAAAGGAAAAGATGTTGCCGCAGAAGCTGTGACAGGTAGCGGAAAGACACTTGCTTTCCTGATTCCTTTATTGGAAATGTTACAGGTACTATTATTTCCTTCATTTTTTAATTATTTTAGGAAAAGATGTTTTGGTTTAGTTGTTAAGTAGTCAAAGTAATACCATATTTACAATAATTTCATGTATTATAGAAACGTGAAGAAAAATGGAAGATTACGGAAGTGGGTGCGATTGTAATAACACCAACGAGAGAACTTGCCACTCAATTAAGCGAAGTACTTGATTACTTCTTGAAAAATATCTCAACACTCAAGCAGGTTTTGCTTGTAGGGGGTTCTACTGTCAAAGATGATATTGTTAACATTAAAAATGGTGCAAATATTATAGTAGCAACACCTGGGAGATTAGAAGACATATTGTCTAATTACAAGAGTATGAACATATCATTAAATATTAAAACAGTGGTAACTAAAAAAAATTATTTTATGCATTTCTCACATGTAAAGTTCTGGTACTTCATATTGAAACAGGTTTAATTTTGCTTTGTACAATGATGTTTTATAATTATAGGAACTATTAATACTTGATGAAGCAGACAGGCTGTTGGATTTAGGCTTCTCGGTAACAATAAACACAATTTTAAGTTATCTACCACGTTTGAGAAGGACTGGCTTATTTTCAGCAACTCAAACTAAGGAAGTACAACAGCTTATCAGAGCCGGTTTACGAAATCCAGTAATAATAACCGTTCAGGAAAAGCCCAGTTCTTCAATGCCATTAACCTTGAATAACTATTATGCTGTAGTGGATTCAGTAAATAAGCTTCCAATGATAATAACATTTATAAAAATTAAAGGCATCCACTTGAAGTATATGATATTTTTATCCACTTGTGCTTGTGTGGACTACTTTAATCACGTTTTAACATCGTAAGATTTTCAAGTGAATCTTCAACACATTCATCTATGTTAGATTCAACGTTGTTCCACTTAAGAACGAATACTATAATTATTCTTACAGCATATTGCCTTCCATGAATGTATTTGCTTTACATGGTAAGATGAAAGGAAATAGACATAAAGTCTTTGAACAGTTTCGTTGTGCAGAAAGTGGCCTTTTGATGTGTACTGATGTAATGGCTCGAGGCATTGACATACCTGAAGTACATTGGGTATTACAGTACGATCCACCAGCTACTGCTAGCTGCTTTGTACATAGGTAATTATATATATGTATATTTGAGTATACAGAGTGTAATGGAACTCGTAGTCCCGGTTTATATAGCGCTATCCTTGTTGAACAAGGAGTCGAAAAGTCCTGTACCATTTTTTGCTACAGTGCATAAGTTTTCTGTAATAATTAAATGAAACACAGCCAATCAATCACGTTCTCGAACGAAAGGCGTAGCGAAGAGGGCACCGGTAAGGCTGCTACGCCGCATACATCTGAACGCAGTCCTACCGGTGTTCTCTTCGCTATGCCTTCCGTTCGAGAACACGATTGTTTGGCTGTGCTTCACTTAATTATTACAGGAAATTTATGTATTGTAGGGAAATATAGTGTAGGACTTTTCGACTCCTTTTTCAACAATGATAGCACTGTATAAATCGTGACTACGAGTTCTGTTACACCCTGTATATATGTATAAAATGTATAAAACTGAAAACATATAAAATTTGTGATCATTTTACATTGAAATTGATTGAGAATGGAATTTAAATTGAAAAAAAACAAAACTAAAGAAATGAGATAAATTAACATTTGCGAATTTACAGATGCGGTAGAACTGCGAGAATTGGCAACACGGGAAATTCTTTGCTGTTTTTGCTAGAGTCGGAAGATGCCTACGTCAACTTTATCGAGAGAAATCAAAAAGTCGATCTTAAGAAAATTGAATTAGTGACACCAACAAACGTGGAAGCAACTTTGAAAAAGATGCGAAGTTTACAATGCTATGATAGACAGATTTTTGACAAAGCTAACAGAGCTTTTGTATCGTATATTCAAGCGTACAATAAGCACGAGTGCAGGTTGATTTTGCGATTAAAAGATCTCGATTTAGGAAAAGTAGCAACTGGATTTGGGTTATTGAAACTGCCACGAATGCCTGAATTAAAACGGCAAAACGTGACTTTTGAAGGACCACAAATCGATTTAAATACGATTCCTTACAAAAATAAACAGAGAGAAGCTCAAAGATTAGAAAAATTAAAAGAATATCGTAATACCGGCGTATGGCCTGGAAAGAAGAAACGCAAAGCACCGGCTACTGAATCATGGTCAGAAACTAAAAAACGAAAATTGCAGAAAAAAGAAAAACGCCAAAAACGTAAAGAAAAGCGAAGTCAAGTGGAACGTTCATCAAAAAATAAACGGAAAAAGATTTGCAACGAAGACATTGAAGAATTGGCAAAAGATATTGCATTAATAAAAAAGTATAAAAAACGGAAGGTAATCACAATAAATCTACATGTTACTATGATATTAGGTTGAACTGAAAGTTTGTGCATAGCAGAAGGATACAGGAAAAGTTTACCAAAAAATGCATGAACTTTTTGTTCAACTCAATGACATTCGGCATAAATTTTCAAACATGTTTCCGAAAATTCTTTTCCAGATATCATCAGAAGATTTTAATGCAGCATTTGGAATAGACTAAAAAATTGTAATTATTTTTGTTAATTTTTATCACATATTTTGTGTAACGGTTGGATATTCTCCAGAGAGATGGACTTTAGAAAGAGGACACAAATCAATGAGGAGAAACGAAGAATTCTAAAAGGTCTGTATATTAAACAAACAAGAATAAATAAATAAATAAATAAAAAGATGCGCAAATTATAAATAGAATAAGAAAGAAACCGAGACCAATACAGAAACAAACTTAAAAGAATAAATAATAAAATAATCGCTCTAACGGAAAATGTAACAATACAAGAATAAATGAATATAAGAATAAAAGGCTACGTCGGAATAAAATGATACATAAACCGAAAGATCAATTAAAAAAAATAAAATAGTACGAGAACAAAAACGCAAATGACGAATAGCAACGATTAGAGAGAGAGAGGGGCTTAACTTTTCTTGGAGGTGTGTGTGAAGGAGCGTCGGTCAACAAATAAAAAAAGCCGCCTTTTCAATGGTCCGCCAATTAAAATCCAATGGCCAATACTTGGCCAGGCCTCATGAGAGGAATGTGGCAACCACTGGCCAAATCGTGCGTCCACGATCTTCCTCAAAATTTGATCACGGGCCTATTACCGTGGCAGCCGACTTTCTTCTTCTCAACGGAACGCCTTTGAACCTCCTGGTTCCCTCTCTCGTCATATCTCCCTCCATCTCTCCCTTTACATATATTATTTATTATACAGATACATTAAGAATTACCACTACATTTGTTTGAATTAAAAGTTCCTCCAATTGAAACAGATGAGTTTATGTCAGTGAGACAAGTTTGTAATACATGCATCCGAGTTACTATACAACTGATAAATGGTCTTTATTATATCTGATTTTTTGAAGATTGTATATATTACTTATATAAAAAGAAATTCCCTGTAAATGAAGGAAGTAATTCAGTTTTGAAGCTGAAAGGTAATGTCAACGTATCCTGTCAGTGCTACTATAGTCAAAGTGAAAACGTAGAAGATTGATTTTTACTTCTCTGTAAAAAAAAAACACTTTACTGATGAAAATATCTTTTATGTTTGTAGAACTTCATAAAAGCATGAATCATTTCATATACACGAACTTGAAGCATCAGTGCACTTACCCACAGGGTTAAAAGATTAGACGTTTAATTCAAAGCTTCAAATAAATTAGATTGTGTGGTGCTAATTTTATGTTACTGGAGTCAATTGACTAAATAAATGATCATTGGCAATAACTTTCGTGGTGATTAAAGATGCGGAGATATATCTTCAAATATAATATCAGACAATATCTAACGTATTCCTCGAATTCACTTTTCTAAAATTTTGGTACAAATGGATATTTATGCGAAAGAGGTGGCGGTATTAGGAACATATAATTTGTAGGAGGTGAAATTACCGAAACGAGTTACTGTTAACGAGTCTATATTTTTGTAGATTTTACCGAATATTAATTGACTTATTGTTCAAAACCATCTGTATAATCCTCAAGGAGACATATAAAATGGATCCAACTGTTCTGTTCTACGATCCTCGACCAAGTGTCGTACCGTCCACCGTTCGTAGGGACAGTCTTGGTCTAGCCGTATTAATTATTTAGGCAATGATCACATCTAAACAATGCTCGCGTTTCCTCGCCCATGATTCTTGGAATAGGCCCGCCCATGGACGTCCGATCATTTTGTCTTTGTCCCTTCGAATTATTTCCTTCAAATTTAAGACTTTTTATTTGAGATGAGAAAATATAAAGGCCGAACAAAAAATTCATAAGTACGATGGTACATCAATTTTATGTTTATGAAATCTTTTATACTTTTGTAAGGCGCATCTTAAAAGAACATCTTGTTCAATATTATATTTCCTTCAGTCACATCGGAGTAATCAGTTTAGGCCTTCATATATTTATTTTTCTAAATTTTTAATGAATAAAAACGTACTGTCTTCCGTCCGCTTAATGGTTCTTTATTCGATTTTTTTCTAGACATGTCTCTTTTTAAATTATTATAAGCCGCAAACAATTGTCTTATATTTAAAACATCTAAGTGAAAAATTACTAATGTACTTGTTTTCTGATGTAGTTATTAAATGTAAGAAAGTAATACAATAACTTAAATAATACAACAGAGTTAATTCATTACTGCCCATGCATAAAAATCACATTTCGTAGAAACAACGAATTTGTCCTCTTCCATCAGGAAACACTATATAGCTCGATCTGTACTATAGGTTCATTGATCTTTCTATTTAGTGAGGTCAGCGTTTCATTTCCCCTGTATGTATACATTCACGTGATATTACAGAGTAATCTTAACTACTAGATATACACGACTGACAATGGTATTCTGCTCTTCATTCAGTGTAGAATGTAAACGGCGATTAAAACTATATCTTTCGTCAAAAAAAAAAACATTTTGTTGAAGTTTATACTTATAACGAAGCAATATACTTTAAACGGTACAATGTGACATGGAAGGTCAGATGTCGTCTTCTATAATGCACATGAAAAGTGATTCGGAAACAGATGGAAAACGAAAAAGTAGTTAACATTGGAATAGCGTTTTCAACTCGAAAGCGGAGCTTTGAATCTCTTTAATGTATTTTAATTTTTAAATTAGATTAAGTTACAAAAATTAAAATCTTTGTCCTGAAATTATGTTTTTACGTTCAAATTTTAAGTAATGTAACTCTTTCTTTAAACACTTGGATTGTTCGAGTATAAAATTTTATTAAATTATTTGGATAACCAGTAGCCTTCGTTAGTACTTTTCTGCTTATATGTACATACACATTTTATGTCTTTTTAAATACTCTCATACACTCACTTATGCCCAAAATGGAAATATGTAACTTACAGACAAATTTTTATTAGGTAATGGAGAACAAATTGCATTTAAAATTAATCAGTGAATAGATTTTCAACATTTGACCTTTCATTTTAGATTAAAGAATTATTTGACCTAACGAGGTACCATATGCACATAATCACTTTTTTTCCCATGATTATAAACTCTGATTAAATCGTTGCTATTGAATGAACAAATTGAAATTAGTTTTTGATGATTCCCCTCTATTAGGCCTTATATTTAGCTTATACCTGTTACGCCAAAACAAAGAATATTTTCCGATATAATGAAAGAGACATTATATTTTCAATGTCTCTGAATAATAACAACAAAAATTCTAAATATACGTATCTCGGTTCGACTGAAACATTTACTGTTATTCGCCTTACAACAAAGGTGTTCACAACTTTGACAGATGACCATTAGACTGATGAACTTTCTTTGGTAAGAGAAAGTTAGAGTCCTTGAAGAGAATATTACTTTCGATTTCAAAACAACGATCAGTTATCCTTGTAAAAATTACGTAAAATGTATGATAATTACATATAATTAAATTACTGTCTACAAACATTGTACAACCTTCACGTACTCACTGTACATTGCACTTTACGACGTAAAGATATTTATTGTACAGCGAAATTTGATCACTGCAGGAACATCGATCCTCAGGAAAAGTCAATATAACGAAGTTTTTAGAGATACAACACCGTTGACATACGGTGAACTTCGTGTTGAGAAATTTTCTTTTACCACAATGATGTGAATTGCAATTCTCGTAAGCTCACTTTATTTCAGCTGCACCAATACCATAAAGTATGTCACTACGGCTCCGAGGACCTGAAAAGCATAAAATGTGGTTACTTATTTTGGAAAACTGACTTATTACCTCCCAAGAAATGTCGGAATGTCGTAACTCACCGAAGCGAAGAGGTCCAAAGAAACGGTGAAAAACTTTGCCCCTGAAATTGACATTGCCTTTTGACACTGCTGACACACGATTTGTACAAAAGTTTTCGCCTCTTCCGACCCATCGTACCAATGGCAAGAGTAGGCTGCTTCCATTACAGACGAACTCTAAGCGGGTACAGCATAAGATATTGTATTAATTTATGATATCCAGTAATTAGATGCATAATTCGATAAATCGATAAGAAGTCTTAGAGCAACACAAACCTCTTCGATCAGGCGGTTTCCGAAAATGCAGAATAAGAATACTTGGCCCAGGGTATACAGCAAGTAGCCAATCACAGTTGCAGCATATACGTCCACGCTATTTACCTAAATCGTGAAAATTAAAGATTTTAAAATCATATTTCCGAATAGGAAGCAAGGAAACACGTATACAACGTTCTTTTCCTAAATATTAAATTTCTAAGAAACATATGCACATACATAAGTTACAATAAGATTGCCCTTTTCAAGTTACACAGGGTGGGTAAGATACTTATTGGTGTGGTATAATAGACTAATTGCAACGCATTAAAACAAAAGATACCATTATCGCACTTGAATTATAACATTTACAATTATTGTCATTTTTAATTAATCGTTCATTATTAAGAATTACAGTACGTTTAGAAACTGTACAACATACTCTGCTAGAAATAATTTCGTTTTGTAAGAAAGTATTATAATATTTAGTAACGAGTCAACAACCGACTTGAACTAAATAACGATTAAATATTACCTTAGTCGCCTGGTAAGCGAGCAACGTCAAAGTAATTGTAGTCGTCAGCATGTGCAACAAAAGTGCAACACCGTAAGCATCACCAATCGCAGTGACCAGCCTAGTGGAAGAATGAAAGAGAGAAGACGATTATGACGCATTATAATCGACAAATATCTTCGAAATTCATAAAGCGTATTTGGGTAATTACTAAGAAAAGTATTTCTAAGACACATGCAATGATATACATTTTATATTGGGACACTGCTTAAGTATCGTCTTCGACTTTCGTACAAGTTTATAGAAATGTTCTTGGAGGATGAGTCTGTCATGTACATACTCTGTTTTATGTACATACTCTACTTTCTTCATGCCTTCCATTAAAAGGAACACGAGGATAATATGTGTAGATTCATAAGATATATGTCGTTTTTCAAAAAACGGTGTTCCAAGAAAACATTACATAAAATCTAAACAATTTTAATTATGAAACTCGTGACTATGTTATTCGATTGTTTCATATTTTTACTGTGTACTCAAGAGTCACTTGTACTCTTTTACATAAATCGCATTGTATCAGAGTTGCTATTATCGAAGCTCACCCTACCATTTTGACGTAGGTAATTATTAATTCAACACCGCTCACATTCGGAATCGGTCCCATTGACGTACAGCAAGACCCCGTTTATCCAAACGCGTTAAAAGCAGACGAATAACCAGCATATTCAGCAGTAATCGGAGGTTCCAGTTAACGATCGTTTTGATAACAAGAGATCAACAGTAAGTTCAATAAATAAGTCTTTAAGTCAAATTTCTTTGAACATTTTTACTACAAACATTGATCCACTGAACACAAAGCCTAACAGTTATGTAACCTTAAGTTAACAAATAACATAACGTTTGTTACAATGTAATAACTTAACAGATACGTAACATAGAGCTAACTAGTTACATGACATTTGTTACTATCATATCTATATAAATGTAATGTAACTTTGTTACTCTTATCTTACGTTATGTTACTGTCCTGATATTACTGTGTATATGCAGCACATATTTGTAACAAAACAGAACTACACCGGTGCTGTCATCTATTTTATTATATCATCGTCATTGTCATTGTCATAATTCATCGTCAAATGTCATAAGATTAATATATGTCATATTTTGTTTACTACTCGTATGAAAAAATGTGATTTTAATTCGTACGCGCATATACGTTATCAGCAATTGTTTGCTATTCGAATGAAATCATAATAGTCTTTAAGTAAAATCAGATAGTTCATCATTAGATAATTTCATTGAAAGTTTGATTTGTCATTTAATATCTAACTATTGTCAAGTACCAAAAAAGAATAAAAAATAAAAAATTATATAATTTTGGATAAAATTGCATGATCTTTTTAATTAAATGTATGAAAAATTAATATTATTTTAAGGTAACTGAAATTATAACATTAATATAACATGTTACATGACATGTTGCCTTACTGAGTGGGAAATAATAACTAACATCTAACTTCCATGTTACTTTTATGCTACATAACATGTTAGTTTCGAAACCGTAACATTTACCCAATAGTTATATAACAGTGTTCACTGGGGTGTTGATAAATACTTTTCCCAAGAAATCTATACAATTCGTCAATAATTGACTGATTTTTGCCAGATAAGGTCGTATACTTTCATCCACAACTGTTTTTCGGCATTATCTTTGATCTGTCCGGGTCGGTACAATCTCTACTTTCATCTTAATTGCATATAGAAATGTAAAATGCAACTGGTACTTCATGAAAGGAATGCAAACTCTGTTTACAATATTTTAGTTTACTCGCAAACATGATCAGAGGAAATATTGAAGATTTATATATGAAAATTTAACAAAGTTTAGCTACAAGACACACTTTCTTGTTCTATCATTAATTTAAATCTTTCCCACTGAGAAACAAACATTTTTTAATTAAGGAGACAGTTCATTCACTTTTCATTGTCCTGTTCAAGCGAAGCAAGCAATTTTGAATGATAATAATTTTTTTTTTAAGCACTTAATGAACCTTAGTTGAAATTACGTTTAGACTCTTAATCAATTGTCCTCCAACATAAATCAAAACTGAATGTAAAGAAATATTAATTATTTCAGTCTTTAACCCTATTCAGGGGGTGTTAATCCAGCGAAATAGAGAACCTTTGATCTTGAACCCTCATTTCTAAATATTCGACAGTGATCATGAATATTTGCATTATCCTTATTTAAGAAAACAAGGGACCTACACGTGTGCGTGTGCCTTCCACACAATAGCGTACACCTTAGGAATTGTTCAGCCCCTAAGGTGCGTCTCCCGTTGCGGTCAATATCGCGTTCTCTTGGAATAAATAGTTGACAACTGTGAGAAATCATACACCTGCATTGGTTCTCCGGATACATAATACGGGCTTAAAAATTTCTTTACTTGGTGCACAAGGTGCACCAAGGTGCACCTTCGTCCTCCTCGATCAGATCTTCATCCTCTTTTTGCTTAAACTAAACTGAGAAAATATGGTGTTAAACATTATCACAACAAACTGTGAAATAGGCGCCAGTCCCTAAAAAGATATAATAGACAACTGCAGCTATTCTTTTTTTCTGTAGTTGTATATCATACCACTTTACGGATGTATTTCATGACTGGATGTGATAATATTTAACACTATTTTTTCTCAGTATATGCTTTTTAAATTTCAAGCACATTCAGCGAAAACCTGACTTTGATTGAAAACACTTTCTCTGAAGCTGCTTCCAGTTTTTCCTTTGTTTAACAAGTTATGTACAGAAGAAAGTACAAATGCGAAAAGGTCATGATTAAATGACGAATTAAGCGACGACAAGATGAAATCGTATCGTGCAAAACTCGAATGTGCAATGTTACTATGATGGTTGGCATGATGCTAAGACCTACCTGACGACGTGTTTATGCCTTTCAACCCAATATTTTATAGCACTTCTGACCAGCATCTCTTGTTTCTTGGTCAAGCCATTTGGACCAACTCCACCATTGAACGTCATTCCAGCAGTTGGCCTGAACGTGGCGGTAAAATCTTGTCTATTGCTATAGATTCCTCTAAGATCCAAGTCTAACATATTATCGCTCGTTGGAGGTGGTGCCGAAAGTTCACTGCCTTGATTTTCTCTTAGATGATCCGCGCTTCCAGCCTTCAAGAATTAAGTGTAATAAATTTAATTATTTTATAATTATCTGGTATGGACTGACATCATGTTAAACTTAACATCCGTACTAAACATTAAATATTATAAATTGAACAAGTCAGCTGAGGAACATAAATATTATACACTCATGTACTATCAGATGCTTCTGATGAAAAGTCTAAACAAACAAAAAAATTATACTGTTAATGCACGAAAAAACGATTTGCAAAATAAAAAAGGAACGATTGTTATTACGGTCGTTGACTTGAATTGAGAGGTTCTACTTATTTTTAATGTAATACTTCACTTTAAAAAGTTCACTGCTGTTTGGAACAACGGTATCGAGAGTAGCGCTGAGCTCCATCAACGGTTTCATAATTTGCTTGAGGTGTTGAAGTTGTTCACAGGCAAACAAGAGCCAAGAACAGAACAAGACGTCCAGGCTGTTCGCGTCCGCCAATGAGAAGAGCAACCAATAAAACTGATAAATTAGTATCATGATATGTGCAATACCATGACTTGCGTCGAACGGGTACCATGATCGCAGCATCAACCTTGGGATCTAAACGATGAAAAACAAAATACAATTTACTCGGCTAAATTAAACAAAGTTCAGGCAGTGGACGAATAACAATCGGATTGGATTGTGTGTAATCTTTATAATTGATTACCTCGACAATTACAGTTTCATTGGTGACTGGGTCTATACTTTTCTTTACAGAATCCCCGACAAACGTGATTCCTGTCCACGCCAAGGCTGATAGGATAGTAGCAGCACCCACGCAGAAAAGGAGCCTCCTCATTTTTGTCAAGGCTATTGCATGGTACCGTGCATTGCTTTCGGCGAACAATGGGTGGGTGTTGGGATTGTTCCAGATACCTAACGTTCTGTAGAAGAGTTTACTACGAACGGCAAAGTATAATAGCTTCACAACACTGTGAGTAAAGAAGAGCATCGTGATTGTGTTTGCTGTTAGGTCGTCGACGTCTCCACTTTCGAACAACAGATTGACGCCACAAAGAGCAAATTGCAGCAGAATCAGGAACAAGTGCACCTAAGCAAAATGACATGTAAAATATCGATGTTTCACGGTAGGTTTACATTAGGTTTTGTAATTGCTCGCAACAACGAATGTCTTCATTCATTATAACTTTGAAAATTTTTTAGTAACTCAATGCACGGTGGATATTGACAAGTTAAGAAATAGCTACGTGTATGAATTGTTCTCTTTAATTGTCAAAATGTTTCGTATTTTCTATTTTGAAATGAAACGTTCTTTGGTTCCTTGAAATAGAACGTATAAACCGTTATGAGGAGCATATGTATATTATGCCAAATGAACGAACGTTCTAGTAGCATGGAATAATTGGACTTTTTCGGATAGCTATAGGTTATAACTCCCCGCCTTAATCTTTAACGATATCAAAATCGATACCTTACGGTAGGTACTTCCACTCCGACATTTTGAGTCAGAGATCAAGATGTTATAACGAATATTAACGTTTTTACTTCGTTTCAAACATTCATTGCTACTGTTTCACTGTTAATGTATTGCGTTGTAAATCTGTGAGTTTGAAAATTCCACGATTCCTTATAAAGTATCTATGTAAAAATACTCACGGAACAGAAAATCTTATGAATAAACTTAATGGATCCGCCAGCATCGTTATAATAATTGAACATAAAGTGGCCAGTATACTGCATTATTCGAATGTTGGGCATTAAGTCTGCCACGAGGCCCTGTTGCTTGAATTTCATCATCTACAAATTAGAGTATACGCATTTCATAAGCAATATAATTATAACTTATTGTATAAGAACCGAACGTAATGCACGAGAAACATGATATAAAAAAAAATATCGTTCGCAAACAAAAAAGACTTGTGAATTATTTTGTAGGATTTTACCAGTTTTAATTGAGCCACGTATGTATCCATCTTAATTAAAGTGGACTTTTTTCATGCATGAACCATGGTAAAGGAAAATGAAATTATGAATTACCCTCGTGAAATTAATAACAGTAATATCTGATGGGACCAAAATATTAATATACATTTTCATGTCTATAAGAGAGACTGCGTACATACCGTGATGTTTAATCTAATCCTTTGCACACTTTTTACGCAAATTTGTATTCGCGATTAAATCGCTTGTATAGTTTGTTAGTCGCGCACAGCTAACGGTGAAGTACTTCGACAACGTACTTATATATTTCGCATAAACAATGCATTGGATTATGTAAAAAAAAAAGTAGTAAAAATATCTAAAACCCTATTCAAAGCGTTTCCGACGACAACGGCGACAGCGATGACTCCACTGGTTATGTCATCTGTTCCAACCTTTTCTACCTGTGCCGCCCTCCATCTGCCTAGCCATATCGTTCACATGCTCTACCCCCTTCTACCATTATATCGCCACGACATAATCCCTTCCACCCTTAAGTCACTTGACGTGCTGAATATCTTTGGCCGCTATGCGGACAAATCTACATGACAAGTATCACTTTTGCTCGCACATATTTCATTTAAACTCATGTTCAATTCAATTCCACACATTTTGGAAGTACCGAACGCGGCTCTACTTAAAACCGTTAACATTTCAATATTACAAGACACGTGTAAAACAGGCAGACTTTTATCTTTAATATTGCCTGTCAGAAATATAGAAGTAAACATTACAAAATTTGGAAATTCGACCATCAAATCTTAAAAGTACAAGTTGGAACAGAAATGTTAAAAGTACATGTGTATATCATGCATTGAATTTTTCGAAATTCAATAATCAGGGATCGTTTTCGAATTATATTATTCGAATGAATATCTTTGGGACACGGCAATTTATTCGTAAATCTCAGAAATACAAGTTGGAACAGAAATGTTTAAATTACGTATGCATATCGCGCTACGGCAATTTATTTGTAATTGTTCTTCAAGATACGAAAACACTTTATTCATGATTAATAACATTTTCTAATATTTCTTTTTGCAGTGTGATGCCAAAAGGTGCAGCATTTTGTGACGCGGTTTCGCGTGGTTCTTGCGGTACGGTGCGGTGCCTTTTCACCGGACGTGGACCAATGGCAAAACAGAACACTGCGCAGACGTGCTCGCACCTTGCGCCTTGCTTCGACGACGCGCCATACTGTTCCTTGCACGGTTTTACTGGCCATAATCTCTTCAATTATTCAAAACTCGCTTTCCACGAGAAGTATATGTAAGGAGTATTCAATACGGCAGCCTTACCTAAAATGTCTTACCGAATAATTAGCAGCAAAAAGATCGTAAAACTGAAATAAAATACATTTACAGGATATAACAAAAATATTACTTTTCTCATGAGATAAATGACGATATCATTAACATAAAAATCTTCCATAAAGAAAGCGCCCGTGAAAAATGTCACGAATTATTTGTAAAAAGGTTTTTATTTTTATAGTTTTTGAATGTAAATATATTGGATAGAGCCTTTAAGTAGAATGCGAAACCTGCATCTATGACTTACCATATCTTGTCTATTTAAGGATTTATATAATTGGTAGTATTACTATGTCAAGAACGCTGACTCTGACACTCGTAATGCTATTATTATGTATTGATATGACAGTGAAACAATGAGCAGAATATTAACGTCCGTAAGGTATGAAGTACGTTTACCAAGATATTTTATTTTTTACCCGAACGGAAATAGTTCATATCAAAACTTAATTATTGCTGCACGTATTATCGCGACAGAACTAATGAAAAATGGCTATTTCTTTGGAATTTCTGTATTTAGAAAGTATTAATCGTGGATGTATGTGTGAATTAGCCGTCTGTGACTTCGACTTAAAAAGTAAATGCGTTCGAATGTAATTGGAATAAATAGAAGCACATAGTTATAATGTCATGAAAAATATGTACGAGAACAGGTACATTTTTTGTCAAACCTTATCTTATACTTGATATTTGCGTATCGTGTAAATAAGGGAGGATCGTAGACGTAATGCAATTCTTGGTTTATTGTCAAGGAAGATTCTACACGGACCTTTATAATTTTCACTATTCCTTTTCAGATGCTTCACGTTGCTTAATGTACTCGAGAAAAAACAACTGATGCCTCATTGTTGCATTTGTTATTCGTCCTCATGGAGACCTATTCCGTTTATGATCGCTGTCCAGTCGTTTCTCGAGGATACCAAAGATACGTGTTTTTCGATCTTGGTGGTGCATGTATGAAACGGATTATCCAGAATTTTGGAGATCACAGCATATCATCATGAAATCATCCGGTAACACTAACTCCTTCAATTGCATCAATGCGGCGCGCAGAATTATATTGCCATGATATCAAAAATATTTCCTTTCAGTGATCGCCATGAAATTCGCTGGGTTGATGCTAGGAGTTATTTCTGCGATTGCGATAGGATGCCACGGATTTGAGATAGAAGGTTTGGATTTATTTTTCAGTTATTCAAATAATAATTTTCCAAATACAATCGGCTCATTTCTGGGTTCAATATCTCGTCGAGCAAATTTTGTATAAAATAAAAATAGTTGTTCTTTCTTTTAGTATCAATGAGATATGAATAGTGAAATATTATATTTCCGTGATATTCGTTAATTTCACGTAACTTTCAATATAATCATTTTAACATAAATTGTTGTAAATTTCAGAGATGACTTTTTTCATTCCAAAATTTGATTGGCTCGATTTAGATGCGCGTATTCATATATTAAAATTTCTGATATGTACGTTTGTGACAGTTCCAGAAGCGTCCGTACCGATGATGGCGGTACCGATAGCTGCACCGGTACCAGCACAGGCTGCAGGAGCTTGGGATATAGCACCGCCCCCGAATGCTGGCCAAAGTGTGTTTTTTGACCACATTTTGAATGGAAAGATGCAGGTCACCGGAATGGACAAGGTCTTGCAGGCGTCGGACACAAAAAAATCTGCGAAGCATGTAGACCAAGCCGTTCCTGAAGAGCCACAGCGAGAAAAGAGATCCGATGCCATGGTGCTGAGGTTAATCAACGTTAACCGAGCCTTGAAATTTCCTCGCGACATCAGGGAACTCGCTCCTTTAGAAGAGCTTCAGGCGGGTCCTTCGAAGGGCATTAACACTACACCGAAAAACGTCGTGCTGATATTCGTGAACGAGACGGAACAGGATCATCAGAGCTTCTGGTCGGATTTCAGAGCCAAGCATTCCTTCCCCGTCCAAAGTCTGCTGCAAGTAAGTCTTCTAGGCCATGTCTATTCTGTACCTTCTACTTTGTTATGGTTTATAATATTTTTATAATTATTTTAAAGTTTATAATTATTTTAAAATATGTTAAATAGGGTAATGTATCCTGGATTATAGTAGTCATCATATCTCAGATTTGATGGTACACATCGCTTGGTGCTGATTTATGCACATCAAATTTTTAACTTCTCTTTTTGATTTTAAGAGTTGTCAATCCTCCGAACTATCTCCTGTGAAGTTATCACCGGACGAAATAATATTCGGCAGGGACAAGAAGGATTGTGCATGTGATCATTTCCTAAAAACAAATGTCAGCGGTCTTTTGTCTTGGGCTCATCATGTAAAAAATATGAAAACAGGTATTTTCATTTCAATACCTTCATCTAATATTTCCCACGCGTAATTACGCTATAGCTACATTGTTTAAGTTACTCGTTTCTTTTTTTAAACAAACGAAAAGAACAAAGTTAAGTCCATTTTTCGTGAAGCCTGGTATTTTCGGAATGTCTCCTAAAAAGTGAGTTACGTGAAAAGTGAACTAGAACCAATTTCACCAAAAGAAAAATATTACTTTTAACTAAACCTGCAGCTACCAATTAGACTAGGATAGTTCTACAGATCTATGAAGCAAATTATTTATACAATATATTACATAGGAACAGTTTCGGCCACAAACTTTAGTGATCCATCCGCCTTGGGTTACGAAGGGTCGATCACCGCCATCAAGAAGATAGATGAAACCAGTGTCAAGTCAGAAGTAGAAACATCGAAGTCTGAGCTTCTTGAAAGTTGGCACATGGTCGATTTGAATAAACAGCAAACCGATTTACCACTGTCTCCTTCAGAAACGACTCCACCCAATATTCAACAGTTTGGTAAAGTCACAAAGAAAGCTCTTTAATAATTCCAAAAATATATAATGTACAGAACGATTAGTTGGCCCAACACTTTTATTCCGTTTTTGCAGTCTTCTTTTATGACAGACGTGATATTAAATAGTAATAATGATGACAGTATTGGAATTATGTTAAATCAATAAAACTAAATAATGTGCAATTGGAAAACAATGGTCGCTATGAATAAATTAAGACATGCTTTCACCAACAGGAGGCACCAATGATGGCATGTGGGACGTCTTCGACATGTTCTCCAAAATCAGATCGGCTTTCTTCCGCACGTTGTTAGACTCCCTCGGTGGAAACCTCGGTGGCCCTGAAGATGAATTTTCCCCACGAAGGCCATTCCCTCTTCAACCCAGTTTGATAGACTTGGTTGGTGACACCGTTAAAGAATTAAAGGCAGTTTCGGGCGATGAAGGATACATGCTGGTCGCAGTTACACAAGCTTATCAATTATCCCCCGTGGTCGATCTTATTCAGCGCGAGGTAATACGTCGCACTTCCGGTCACATTCTATGATTTTAAATTCCGTAATATGCATTTCTAAAGTTTATTTTCACAAAAATGATTTCGTTTTCCACTTAATATCTTTCGTATCTTGTATGCGATGGGAACGAAATCGTGAAACGTGTCCGATTAATAATCGTGTTGACTTTTGCACATTGTTTGTAACAGTGAACGCAATGATTAAGAAAGCCGATGTACAGTATTCATCAGCCACGCATCACACGACGACCTAACAGTTGAAAAATCAGTTAACAAACCGACTATATTTTTTCTTTTTTCATCTCTACATGTTTATAACCATTATTATTAATGTAAATTTAGATGTTACATTATCAAGGGCATAATAGGGACAAATTCATTTAGTAGCAAAATCGATATGGAATATGGAATGTTATCTGTACTATAATAAACTCGACCGCGTTTCTTAGTCATCAAATTACGTTCGATTTTTATATTTCTGATTAAAAACCAAATATTTGTGAGTATTCGTGTAAGTATTATGTTAACTTCCATGCTAGTTTTAATAACAATTTGTATGAAGCCTTATCTAAACGCACATATTGTGCATATTTTTTTATCTCTCCGAAGGATCTTGAAAATACGCTGCTGGTCGTATCAGGAATCTGTTCGTATCAAAAGAAGCCGGTGCCATTCTTCGCGAGTGGTCCAGGTTCCAAGGCGTTGTTTGAAATAAGGACAATGTGGGATCTTGTTGGAGCTATAAAAAATTCTATTACCGGCGGCTGTCCTGGATTGGGATGTAAAAACCGACGACACGACATCATGTCATTGCCGAGTGGTATTTTGATGTCCTTAATAGATGATAATTCACCCAGCAAGAAACGTATTATCAGGAAGGACGATAATGGAGATTCGGTACGTATGCAGTTCACAAACGGTCTAGTTTTATCTGATTATTTTTACACTTCAAAATTGTTTCTGTTTATTCCATATCGTTCCTGTTACTCATTAGATGATAAACTGGGTATAAACATAAACGTTCTTATATTTTACTTTCATTTCTTGGTATATGAATTTTAACAACAGATACAATGTCAATTCACCTTACGAAACTTGCCACACTTTTTTACATAATTCTTTGATTCATTTTTTCATTGAAGATGTTAAAAGAATCTAAGTTTATCGTCATGTATCATAAAAATATAATTTATCACAGAAGTAATGAAGTACATTTTAAATTACACGTAATAATACTCCGCAGAATTGAAGAATAAACAACTTCATTTTTACAGGAGGAGTCAGGTGGAAATGGCAATACCACCTCGGAATCTCCCAAAAACACGGGTGGTGCCAATGGCATATTGCCAATGGACTCTATCACATTACTTTTTGGTGCTGTAACGTCCGTCGTTACGTCTCTTATCCTTAAACCTTAAGAATCGCTTGATGTTGCTTCCCTCGTTCATCGGTCAAGTGCAAACGCATCTCTCTTCTAATTGCGCCTGGCACCTTTTGATGATTTTAACAACAAAATTCCAGTGAACAATTCAAGTTAATCTAAAATATCCTTTCGTCCACGTATTACTCAAAAACTACGGCAAGATCCTTCGATTGGTAAACATTTATCATGTTTCGTTTATTTGGAGCTTAACGTCGGATAGCCATATTAATAGACTTCGTTTGGTTGATGGTAATCCTATGGTAAAATACCCCCAACTTGATAAAAAGTCTAAAGATATTACTGATGTTGAAATTCTCGTCGAATGGTCTATGTGTGTTTCAATTGGTGATTCATTTTGCGAAACGTCGATCGTGGATGCTTGAACGTACAAAACTTTCAACGAATTGGATTAGCTGAGTCAAAACAGTGTCGGCTTTCAGTTTTTGGATCTGTTGCTCAGGATCTACTTGCAAGGTTTCAAGTAAAATTATTGCCGACCAAAGACTTAGGCTACATCGACCTCTGAAGCTTCGTACGGTTGCAACCTGCGATTTCGATTTGAAAACTCATATAAATACGTTTTATGGTTCTGATACTGTCCTAGTGTTAAATATTAATTTTGCTGTATACCGTTCGACCAATTTATAAATAAATATTTATGTTGCGCTGCACCGTCAAAAATTTAGATTTTACGGGTGTTGTTTGGCTTAGAAACCGTCTAAAAATATGAAACATAAGTTCTTTTTATTTTCAGTAATTTTCATAGGATTTCTAAAATCGTAATGTTTAACTACAAACTAACTTAACAAATTAATGGAAAAGAAATTAGATGTATCTTCGTTGACATGAAGAACTTTGTGCCGGAAAGCATTTTTCTAATGTAAAAATAATTTCCTCTGCAGGCCATTGAAGACAATCAAAAATAAATTCAAGAAAATAGTGTTAGTGTATCAGAGCAAATGAAAAATTGTACTTCAATAACGATACTTTTCTACCTTCAGTTTTTTAAAACCGTTTGGTGAGAAATCAAAGTACAATAATGTACCGACAAAAAGCTCAGAAGTGTCTAAACAGGAATGATGTATAGAAACTCAAGGGTCTCGATTCTCAAATTCATATGACCAACTTTCGCATGCGAAATTGTCAGTTTCGTATAAGACTTTCAAGTGTTAGCCAATGACGCGGCTTTGCACCAATGCGAAATTTTTTAGGCGAATCTATTCACATGCAAAAAATATCGGTATGAACTCGAAAATAGGAGCCCTGATCTTTGGATTACGAATCATTTAATCGAAATTATTATACAGTGTCGGTGTGCGAGGTTTGCAATATGCTTGTAAATATTTGAAAAAGTTTTTTTTTTATTACCGAATTTCAAGAATACTAGAAAATTGCACATCACAAACAATGCCCCTAGTCGGTATCATGGCTCCCAAATGTAACGTGGTTAGAACTATGGTTAGAACTGAAAATTCTTTATGCCGAAAACTAAGTTTCTCATCATAGTTCAATAACGTATTTTATCGCTGAAGTTCCGCGTAATCGAAAATTACTTCCATCAAAACCTGTCTTCAAACTTTCTTATGCTTCTCTACTCTTTCTGTCTCGTTAAAGTTCTGACGTTCGCGAAACCCTTGCATCTAATGATACGCTTTCAGAAGTTCACCCATGGCGAGTTACGTAACAAATATAATGCGCAATTTCTTGAAATCGGAAAGTGAGACCATTTTTACAAACAACTGGAGTATATGAGCCTTTCGCAAGGTATTACGACGTTCTATGAACTTTTGAGTGTCATGGTAGATCCTCTCATTCAAGTATTAAACAATTTAACCCGTTGAAGATCACCCTTTTCGTTCAACAATTTACTTTCAAAGAACACTACTTTAATCAAGAATATTTTCCCGTAATTTTCTCCCAAATTATGAAAAAGGTTACGGTTGAAAACTCGACGTCAAACAAAAATGATCAATACTTGTTCCTCGCAAATTGCTAGTACCAACATTTGGTACCCATCGTACTCCAATTCCATGGTCCAACCCGCGACCGCAATCTAACCCAACTTTCGCAAGACCACATGAACAGGAACGTCCAATTCAACGCAATAATCGAAGCCCTAATCAAGATCCTCTGTTGCAAAATGCAAAGGTAAGCCTCACACTTTTTTTTCGATCGCGGGCGAACAACTGACCGACTTGGCTTTTTTGCTGATAGAGCGAAAAGAAAAAAGGCAACGATGCAACGATTGGTCAAGAATTTTGACAGTGGCCGAGAGCCCGAGTTCCACTTCTCTTTTCGCTTTTCTCGGGCATCAGGTCGCCGACTACAGCGTGCTGCAGAGTGGGGCACAGAGAGATACGTATAAGAAGAACCGGTCTCAGCCACCTTAGGCGGAGTCTCCTCCCCGCCTTGCATCTCTTTGGTTGCACGTCTTGCCGATCAATTTTCTGGCCTCACAGTGCGCCGGATCTCGTCTCATCTCATCGATAGTGATCCTTTCCCTCGCTGTTTGATCCTCTAACGCCGCTTCGGAATCATGGCTCAGGTAATATCTGTCTCTGTATATACGTACGCATAACATTTCTCAATGGTGTTGGATACTATCCAGATATCTACAGAAGTCATTTCACTTTCGATGTCGCAGTAATGTGCCACGACACCTGTCGCAAGCAGATTGAATGATATTCTTCCATGAAACGTGGAACATCTCGCAACCATCAGTGGAGAATTTGTTAGAAGAGTTCTCTTTTGGTGGTACCTTCTACCTTGTGGATCTGAGATTTATGTTATGACATGATTTATTCACTTTTTCATGAGTATTATGAGAAAAATACCTCGTTTTTTACTTCTACGTTTTAATTTTATCTAATTCTCTAACTTTCTTAAGTCGACTCCCTGGTCATCCCCCCTGATGAAAGGATCAGGTCATTCTTGATTGAAGTTGATAGTTCATGGTATTACTTAAAACTAATTTGATAACTTTCTTAACATAATCTGAGTAATCCGATGTTTAATGAAGAATTAAACATTGAATATGTGTGATAAAATTGATATATTTCATGATATCAGTTCCTAAAGAACAAAAACCTCAGCTTCTGTGTTAATACGTAAATTTTTTCTTAGATTGGAATTACGGACTATGAAATTATATTTATGTAAATGTAGGGAGCTGCCGATCTTCTCTTGTGTTATACTATACATGTTGCAATTACTGTAATTTGTGAACAAGTTGCTCTAATTGATAACTACGTATTTTTAAAATACTCCATGAACTCCGAGTTGTAGTCTTGATTGGATTAAGCAAGATTGCTAAAAGTATTCATGACGAAAAAAATTGCCGCGAGGATGATGCGTAATCTTTTCTAATTACTTTTTGTAGTAATATTTTACATTCATCCTGTAATTTGCGTTTTATCTCCCTTTTTGTATCCGCATTATTTGGCAGAAATTCATCATTAGGTAAAAGCCAAGTTCCTATCGGAATGGTCAATTTCAGAATACAGAATAAAGTTTTTAGTCATCTCAAGGCATAGAAATATTCCATGGGTGTGAATAATGAGAGGTTTTTTGTTCTTACGTCGAATACTCGGTGGACATCTAATAAATATTCATTAGATCAAAAAACACCGGCTAATTTTTTATTAACACCTTTAAAAATATTTTTAATTGATTTTGTCTAATAACTTAAGCGTGAACATAATAACTGCAATAAAACTACAGGTTCACTGACGAGTAATGAACATTTTGAAGAGTGATATCATTAACGATAAAGGTAAACAACGGTGCTTGATTAAATTTCCTCTACAGCCTTCTCCCTTAACATATCGTCATATATTTTGTGACAATGTTAACAGTGACATTAAGGGATTATTGTAAAAGTCCAGAACTTAAATATTTGTAAACTCAATTGATTTTCAATTTCTATTCAGAAATAGAAAACAGAAGAATACGTGAAGAACATTCTACAGGATATTCTGATGCTAAACATATTAATTTTTGTTTTATCGTCCTGAACCTTGTACAATGGACTTGACGTTCGTGGTTTAGTTCACAATAATAATTGTTCTGGACCTTGCGACGTTTTCTTCACAGTCATTGGTCGTCGAAAGGTCGAGGCGAGTAAGATTTGTTTTGTGCAGGATTTTCCTCCTCTTTTCTTTATTTTTACTGCTTCGACGAGGATCATCAAATTCCCTTTGATTATTTCTTTTTTAGGCAATCAGAAATTGAGGGAACACAGTGGACCTCTTAATCCGTGACGAGAGAGCGAGAGAACAAGAGAAAGTTTTGGTTGGGCAACGCATCGTTCGCCATGAAATTCTCGGATAAAGAGCGAGTAGTTTGCTTCCGTTCACCGCGTGCAATTCTCGCTTGGACATGTTCAATTATATTATATACGTTAATAATAACATAAGGCTCTCTACAGAAACGTCGAGTAGTAGTGCACACTGTCCTGAAAAAGTATCGATATTTCTTAATGTTATTTACACTTCTTGTTTTCAATAATGATACATTGCTCGTCAACGAAACTGTAGCACCTAAAAATTAAGATTACTCAAATCTGATAACCGCTTATGTTGTTTACCAGAATGAAAAGAGACCATGGGCATATCTTGGTAATTACAAGTATTATTTAAATCATTGTCATTTTAAATTATCTTAAACATTATATGTTTGTCCCTGATTTGCACGGTGTTTATTTTAAAGTTTTAGGTGAGACATTTAATGAAATTATCTGATATTCTGTATGGAAAAAAATCATCATATCTGACCGTTTCTTAGTTTAATCGTACACTATCAAGTTGTAATTTCAAATATATAGCCAATTTAAAGGGCATTGCACGCATATTAGATTTAATTAATAAGAGTATATTCATATGATTACAATCTTAGCATATGCGTGCTAAATATTGTTATACTCATTGTTTATTAACATCACAATTCTGCGTCTTCATAAGACAAATTGAAGCTAACACCGAATACGTATTGGTACTGTATGTCAAATTGCATTTGTTGCCATGCACGAATGGAGCTGTAGAAAGGTTTGCGAGGACTTAAGAGGCAAAGCGAATCGCGGGTCAAGCCTAAAACTCTTTCCCTTTCTAACAGAATTGAATGTTTATACGAATCCCCTCAAAACACCTTCGGTGTACAAAAATTTAGCCAAATACATTTATCTTTACTCAAATAATTACAAAAATAGCTCAAAGTGCTCCCTTCCCACGAAAAGCTCAAATCATCTATTTTTGCCAAATATAATAGAACATTCATTCCATTAAAGTCTCAGCTAAAATTTTTTTGCCAAATGTCACAGTAGATTTGGTTTCACGTATGTTGTATGTACAAGATTTTCTGCTTCCTCAAACCGAAGACAAATATTAAAAAATGTATCAAAACAAATAAAAAAATTAGAAACTAAATTTGAAAACAATATTTTATTTGGCAAGCACCAAAATGATCATATGCTAGGAGTATACCTCGAGTGCTCGCCAAATAAAATATTGTTTTCAAATTTAGTTTCTAATTTTTTTTATTTGTTTCGATACATTTTTTAATATTTGTCTTCGGTTTGAGGAAGCAGAAAATCTTGTACATACAACATACGTGAAACCAAATGTACTGTGACATTTGGCAAAAATAGATGATTTGAGCTTTTTATGGGAAAGGAACAATTTGAGCTAATTTGTAATTATTTGAATAAAAATAACGGTATTTGGCTAAATCTTGGTACACCGAAGGTGCTGGAGGGGATTTCACTCCTTTTTATACAAAAAAATATTAATGTCTCTATTATTAATAATAAAGTAGGCAAATGTATCTGATACCTTCCTATAATATCAAAATATAAATACTACAAACATATAATTTGATAAAAAATTACTAACAATATGTACATTTCGTAAACGCAGTATATATAAATATATCTTATTATATTAACACCATTAACATTTTGAATAGCACCATAATTTATCCGCCAATGTAAATTTTGAAATTCTAATATTAAACTTGGATTCAGCGACCACAAAAACCGGGGGAAAACCTATTTTTATAAAAATCCAACTATTTTTATATTTATATCCGCCATATTGGATCCACCATTAGCATTTTTAAATTTTGTTTACAGATTTGGAAGCAATGACCCTAAAGATTTGGAGAAATCATGCTTTCAAACATAATTTTAACCGTTTTAAAATTTTTTATCCGCCATATTACGTTTTAAAATTCTGTTGCCAAGTTTAGATTCAGCGACCTCAAAAATGTATCAATGTCTTTTTTTCTTATAAAAATTCTACTATTTTGTAATTTTCTGTCCGCCATTTTGAATTTCGGAACTGTGTTGTTAGATTTGGATTCAGTGGGCACGACTACAATGAGAAACTCATTTTTATAAAAATCCAACCATTTTTACACTTTTATTCGCCATATTGGATCAGCCATCTTGAATTTCAGAATTTTATTACAAGATTTGTATTAAGCGGTTATAAAAACCACGTTAAACAATTTTTTATAATAATCCAACATTTTGAAATCCAATCATTTTAAAGCTTGGATGGGTATAGTTCCTTTTCGTTTCGCGCGAGGCGGCGTCGCATGTTGACTGCCCGAAAACCATATGACAGTTCACCTATCATATAAGTGCGAAAATGGTAGTCCGTGACTGGCGAGACGATGATGACGATATGAGAACAACGTTTCTGAGAGTGCCGAAAACTTTTCCGTACCATATCTTTACGTAGATAGCAGCAATCAGAGCCGGGGAAATTTTTAAAAATGCCTGAACTTTTGCTTGAGTATTTTAACTGATTAGACGTTTATTTCTTTATCTATAACAATGGAGAGCGTAGATTCCCATTTCCCCCACTCCTGAAATCTAGATCCTTGGCGTATAGAACTCTGTAGCGTCTCGCTCGAGCTCAAACGCGCAGGGCGCGTTTCTCTTAGCATACGATGCTGTGAGTTTCTCGCTCAAGAAGTAACATGCGTCACATGTGTACCACGAAAACTTGATTTTTAGGTTCCTACGTTTTTGATTGGTTTATAAACATGTTCTGCATAAATTTTACCAAACTCAATCAATTCCAAAGGTTGACGTATAAAATACACATTAAACCCTCAGGCAATCCATGAAGTGGAATATACGTAAATTAATCGTCTAAAGTAGGTCTATAGGTATCTAAAGGATATATAACTGTGTCAGTGTCTGCGCGCGCGCGCGCGCGCGCGTGTGTGTGTGTGTGTGTTACGTCTCATGTGCGGCATGTAGCCTTTGAGTGTATCTAAAACAGAGGTCTTAACTATCTATATATGTCTTACATACCTTCAATAAACATCTGTATACGATTAATTTACGAATGTTCCACATTCTGCGGTGCCTGGGTAGTGCACCTTATTATTGCTTAACATTTTTTACATTATTTTTTGACATCTTCCCTAAATTGAACTGAAAATTTGGAAAGTTTTAGTTAGCTAACTTTCGTAAGAATACACGAATGAGGTCTAAAAATGAAAGTGCTGCTCGTGCATTTTAAGGTTAGCCGCTTTCCC